GAGGGCATACTTGGACGATGAAGAGAGAGTACTTTGAGGAACTCCTTATCCTCAGGCAACCGCAAGAAGACCCTCATAAAAAGTGGCAGGCAACGGATATTGGACAATAGAAGGTGTTACAGAATCCGAAAAGTGTTTCAAAAATAGCAAGGCTGCTGGAATCGATGAAATCCGCCCTGATTGCTTGAAGGTTTAGACGAGCAATGCGTTTTGTAACCAAACGTGTGTGTCTTCAAAACTGCAGTGGCTACGAGGAGAACACCATTGGACTGGAGGCGGGAGCTTTAGTACCATTGTTAATCCTCCTCAAAATGGAAGATTAAATTTGTCATTTGAATTTTTATAGTAAATGTGTGAAAGGAAAGTTATCCTTTTTGGGCACGTGACCAGAACTGAAGCAAATGTTAACTGCGCCTGACGCATCGCCTGTAAGTGTAGCATGCAACTTTTCCTTCTGCCCTGCTGTCATCGTTACTTCGGTAGAATCACATCGAAGTTGTAGCCATGCATCACAAGATCACTGGAAGGTTTAGAAGGCTTCAAGATTTATTAATAAATTTATTACAAAATCATGTAGTGAAATAAGTGGCAACAGAATAAATCATAATAGACAATGAATAACAAAATAAGATGCTGGATCATGACAACTAAATTCCTATAAACAGATCAGTTAAATTCAATAGTAGTCGATTCTTCGCTTGCGGCCTGTGGCAGGAATGGATTTTGTTTTAGGAGTCACCGTTCAGATGTTCTTGGTGTAGCGACGTGTAGAGTCAGTATATTCAGAAGCCATGACAGAATTGGACTGTGTTTTAGAATTAGGCGCAAGGGTTGTAGTGATGAATTGAAATATGGGATTCACATGCCCAGTGCCCTTGACTGGCACAGTTGTCTCTTTCTTAGAGCTAGTCATAGGGGTAGTCTTGGCGAAGTAAAATTTTGGATCCGTGTGTCCATCCCAAGGGCCGGTAGGAACTGCGGTTTCAGGCGGCAAAGTTGTCTGTGGTTCAGTGATCCCACTTTTGTGGGTTGTCTCAGCTGAACTAGGTGTAGTACGGATACCACGTGTGCACTCTTGAGATTTACTGACGCAGGCACATCCCCACAGAGGAAAATCACCTCTTTGCCCAGCCTATAAATATACATTTATTAGACATTTCGGCAAACTCAAGAAAGAGAAGCGAATGTTTTTCCATATCATATAGTCGTCCTGTAATTTACTGTACCTGGAAACAGATTCCAGTAGACTTGCATATTGGATGTTTTCCTTCCATGCACAATACTGGATCGCGTAGTTGATCAAATGGACGATAATTTTTTGGGCTGTATTGACAGTATTTTCCTTGGTACGGTGATTGACATAGACAGTAGTATTTGCCATCCTAAATGTTTGCAGTTATAAAGAAAACGAGGCATTCAACGTCGCTGACCTTATCATCTTGGATGCATTCACCGTGGTAGCTGCAGCCCTTTATCTGGCAAGAGTTACTGTCGATTTCACAATGTACTCCATCAAAGCCACTGCCAGTACAATTGCAGTGAACATTACCATCCTGCATGTAACACCTTCCTCCATGATTACAGTTGCATAGGTGTGATGGAATCTAGTAAGGAAACATGTTACTAAGAGCATGTTCAACAAAGCAAGCTTCTCAACAATCAGTGTCGTTCAGAAACAAGGAAAAACGGCTGACTGTATTAAAATGAGCTGCTTACAAAGGAAATGAAAGCATTGGTGGAGAGGCAAACTGCGAAGTAATGGTTGTACGGTTTATGAAGAAAATTCGGTGACAATTAATTTAGAAATTAAATGACATAAAATACGCAAAATCGGCTCAGTCCAAATTCTGAGATGCAACAGTCCATATAGATGAACGTGTTGGCAATAAAAGTTTCACTATCTGATGTGTTTGGTGCCTTGAAGCATGAATGGTTTAGCAGCCTATCGACATATCTACAAGCCCAAAATCAAAAAATTGAAACATAATTAATGCCTAACAGTTCGGCAAAATAAAGACACAATTCTCCTTACCTCACACCGTTTGCCTTCAAAACCAGGCTGGCATGAACACTTGAATTCTTCGTTTGTGCAAGTGAACGTACCACCATTGTGGCAAGGATTGTAGTAGAAAGGAAACGCTTCGCAACCTAAATGGATTGAATACAGTATATACAATATGTCTTCTAAATTAAAATATTTTCAGATTCATCAAACCTGCTCATTGCCAATGAATGCAATGGCTGTATTAAGCGTTGAGTGCTTTGACTCTTTAAAAGGAACAAAACTAATTTTTGCTGTGACAGGAAGCCAAAAACAAATATTATACCATTTACTAAGGATCACTTGAATAAGCAGCTATAAAGAGGGAAGGATGAGTTGCAACCCTATAACTGTGGCAGAAAATAGACGAAAACGCAGTGGCTATGAGGTCGGCTTTCAACTCCAGAGGTGTCGGCTTCTATTCTGCGCAAAATACAACCATTCTATTAATCACAAATTGTATGGAGCACGCAAATAAGCCAACTCGGCTTCGGTGCAACCAGATGAAAAATAGGTATTAAATCGGCATTATGTGAGAAACGGATATTAAATTGATCTGAGAATTATATGGACAACATGGTTCGCTGGTCCGGTCATGTCAAAATGGTGGAGATGTATGGTCATGAAGTCCGATGCAGCGCCACCTGTGCTAGAAATTCGCATTGACCCACTTGATAGATGACTATACAGTGTAATAATCGCCACAGGGTGTAACCGTTATTTCGATTTCGATGTGAACCTCCCATCGTACAGCATGTCATTTCGGTTGTTGTGTCAGACTTTGAAACTTGCAAAAATTTCACGTACGGTCGAACGATTCAATCTCTGCACGAATATAATGTATCATCACAGCTTCACCTCAAAATCTTACTATCATCAGTCGAGTCGTTAGAGATAAATTGAGTCATTAAAGTAACAACGTATGACTTAGAATTATACCATCTACTCACCAAATAACGTTTCATTGCACAACTTTCCGGTGAATCCAGCTGGGCATATGCACTTATACCCTCCCGGAACGTCAATACATTGCCCATTGTGCTGGCACTGCTCAGACTCCGGCAAGGAGGAGCATACGCTACTGCAAGAGCTTGCTGGATACTCGCAGTTCTTGCCATTAAATGATATTTCACACATGCAAAAATAACTGCCTGAAAACAGATGCTACAATGAGGGAACCAAAAAGCAAACAATGCACACCTGGAGTATTGACGCACGTGCCACCGTGCTGGCAAGGCGAATGCTGGCACTCGTCGACATCAACATCACAAAAAGGACCATTAAATCCCGAAGAACAAACACACCGACCGTAAACACAGTAACCATGATTGCAATTGACATCGCGGCAATGGTCGTAACAAGAAAAGCCGTCGACTCCATCGACACATGTTAAACCGTCTTTGCAGGGATTCGACAGGCACTCGTTAACGTTAGTCTCACAGAATTTACCTGTAAACCCAGAAGTACAGTGGCAAATCGGCTCAAACGTCGTATCATTAACCGAACATTGACCACGGTTATAGCAAGGGCTGGAACCACAGGAACCAAATCCATTTGTATGATGAGGAATAACAGTCGTGGGTGGATAAGTGAGAGGAGAAGAAACAGTCCCATCATATAATTCACTAGCTCCACTATCAGGATAAGAACTACCTACTGTACTACAAGGGCACAAGCACATATGAGGTGATACAGAACCAGTAGATTCCCAAGCGGTTGTGCTCCGAACAGGAACAGTTGCAGGAGACGAATTTAGAAAAGGTGTCGTAGTTGGCGAAGAAGTGCTTGAACGATCGGGAATAGTTGCGATTGGTGATTCTGGAAACGATGTCGTAACTGTCGTAGGACTGGTTGTCGGCACTCGTCCTGGAGTAGTTGCCGGCGCAGTACTAGTTCCTGGCTCTGGTGAAGGAGTCGTTGTTGTCGTAGTTGAGCCTTCAGGTTCTAGTGAAAGTGTGATGCTTGGCGTGGTGGTTGTTGTTGGCTCTGGAGCTGGAGTCGTAGTTGTTGTTGTTGAGCCTTCAGGTTCTGGTGAAGGCGTGGTTTCTGGCGTAGCAGTGGTTGCTGGCTCCGGAGCTGGAGTCGTAGTTGCAGTTGAGCCTTCAGGTTCTGGCGAAAGTGTGGTGGTTCCCGTAGGAGTGGTCGTTGGCTCTGGTGCTGGAGTCGTTGTACTTGTAGTTGAGCCTTCTGGTTCTGGTGTAGGCGTGGTTTCTGCCCTTGTAGTGGCTGTTGGCTCTGGTGCTGGAGTCGCTGTTGTTGTAGTTGAGCTTTCTGGTTCTGATGTAGGCGCGGTTTCTGGCGTAGTAGTGGTTGTTGGCTCTGGTGATGGAGTCGTTGTTGTTGTAGTTGAGCCTTCTGGT